TTTGTATGGACTCTCCTATGAATGTTCATATGACTCTTTCGGGAGAATTTCTTTCCACATACCTCACACACTAGGCCATTCAATGTGGCTTCCATTTTTGGTTGTGTATCCTCCTTCAGGCTTTCTTTGTGCCTTGCCTGATCCCCATCTGATGAAGCCTTGTTCCCACAGTCCTCAGCCAGAAATGACGCTCTTAACAAGTCATTATGATCCTGGACCAAGTTACACGAGTCCTTTGCCTTCATTTCATGTCTGAGGTCGTGAAGATCATGGAAGAAAAGGCATTCGGGGTCCACTTTCACGTCACTCACTCCAGCTCTCTCCTTATCTGCATAGTCAAGAGGTTCCTCCTTTATATCCAGACATGCGTCTTCAGTGACACAGTTGTTGATCTCTTCTTTGATGCTGACTCCTATGCTAAATCTTTCCTCCTCCTTGCGGGAGGTCAAAGGAATCCAGTCAGCGAGGAAATTCATTGTCTCTCTGTGAATGGAAAAAAAGGAAACATTTCTTGAAAGTGTAACAGAAAGATTGCAGCCTACACTAATAGCCTTTCCAATGAAAAAAATGCTAAAACTCATTAACAGATACCTTTCTTGATTAAAAAAACTAATAGTCATGATGGCCAAGTGGTTAGAGTGTCAGACTCAAAGATTGTCATGACAATTTGAGTTTGAGAATATAAGCATATATATATACATATATATTTATTTATATACATATATACATATATCTAAGGCCAAAATCAGTCGATGTCGACAATAGCGTTGTCTCTACCATATTGGTAGACTCAATGTCTCGGCAAAAGAATCTGTTGCCCATGCAGCAGGCTCACTCTTTCTGCAGCTGACGGATCCAAAGGAATGGCAAACACCAATAATGTTTGGCACCAGTGGTTTCACAGGAGCTGCCAGGATGAGATCCCAAATGACAATGAACTGCCTTAGAGACTCTGCCACTGGATTTTCCCTCAGGGTTAATTCCCAAAGCCTTTTTCATCTTAGAGATGGAACAAGGCAGTGGATTGATTTGTATAGGGTGGACACCCATAGTTTTTGACCATACATGGCAGCAGTTGTTTTATAGGGTGAACTACCAATCTTTGACCATATACAGACTGAACTACAAGGCACTAGTCAGGCACCACTATCGTATCTACATAAAACTAACCCAATATTTGCAAAGCCATACATGTGTGCATGTGTATACATGCCCACATGTATACATGTGTGCATTCATACACACACGTGTAAGAATGGGTGCAAGTGCAAACACAAGAGCTCACACACAGATTTACAAATATTACAGTATATATAAATATAGATAACTTTTATATATACATAAATATATATTTTACATTTGAATTATTTATATTATATTTATATTATGCTATTAACAAATTGATATTTAAATACTGATAATAATAATGACACTAATGATAGTAATTGTAATAATGGTAATGACTATGATGATCAATGAATAATAACAATGATACCAATAATCAAATAATAAAAGAAAAAAAAAATAGTACAGCTAATATTAATGATAATAACACTGAAGATAATTATAAGAATGATAATATTAAAGCTTAATCTAGGAACATGACAGCAGGAACAATAAAATACATTTATACAAAATACAAAAAATACAAAATACAATTCATTTGAATGTAGGTAAAGTAAAAATAGAAAATGAAAGTGATTTCCTTCAATCGTCCTGTCCTGCTCTATGATGGACAATAAGGGAATCCAGATGAATCTAATAAATAGGGTAGATGGATGTTACCTAGTTAATTATATATATTAAAATGTTTTTACTCTATATTTAGAGAATATATAGAAAATATATGTATATATATAATGTGTATGTATATGTATACATATATATATATATATATATATATATATATATATATATATATAAATGTATATGTAGCTATATATAGAGAATATATAGAAAATATATGTATATATATAATGTGTATGTATATGTATACATATATATATATATAAATGTATATGTAGCTATATATAGAGAATATATAGAAAATATATGTATATATATAATGTGTATGTATATGTATACATATATATATATATATATATATATATATATATATATATAAATGTATATGTAGCTATATATAGAGAATATATAGAAAATATATGTATATATATAATGTGTATGTATATGTATACATATATATATATATATATATATATAAATGTATATGTAGCTATATATAGAGAATATATAGAAAATATATGTATATATATAATGTGTATGTATATGTATACATATATATATATATAAATGTATATGTAGCTATATATAGAGAATATATAGAAAATATATGTATATATATAATGTGTATGTATATGTATACATATATATATATATATAAATGTATATGTAGCTATATATAGAGAATATATAGAAAATATATGTATATATATAATGTGTATGTATATGTATACATATATATATATATATATAAATGTATATGTAGCTATATATAGAGAATATATAGAAAATATATGTATATATATAATGTGTATGTATATGTATACATATATATATATATATATATAAATGTATATGTAGCTATATATAGAGAATATATAGAAAATATATGTATATATATAATGTGTATGTATATGTATACATATATATATATATAAATGTATATGTAGCTATATATAGAGAATATATAGAAAATATATGTATATATATAATGTGTATGTATATGTATACATATATATATATATAAATGTATATGTAGCTATATATAGAGAATATATAGAAAATATATGTATATATATAATGTGTATGTATATGTATACATATATATATATACATATATATGCACATTTCTTTATGTATGCATATATAAAGATATATAGATACACACACCCACACACACATGTGCATTTGTGCGTGTGTGCACACACATGCATGTGCATATCCATGTGCATGCCTTTGTGTGTGCAATGATGGGCACTGATACTTGAAAATTAACCCATTGCCGCCAGGGAAAATGAAAAAAAAATGGGGGAAATGCAGTACTCATTTTTTATATTTTTGTGAAATATCTCTGTCCATAGATGGCTCTGCTAGTCCTGATTTCACCTCTCCTTAAATTGGCGGGGAAAAACGTATTCTTACTAGTGTTATAAATATAGATGGTGTTATTTTGAACAGCAAATTAGGATAACGTTAAATATTTTCGTAAATTGACGAAAAGGGTGAACGGGCGAGACAGGCAGTACTCGTAATTGGCTCATTGGATACTTAGTACAAGTGTAGCCATCTAGGTGTAAAAACAATCAAACAAGTCGACTCGCAGTGGGCATGGCATGGACGTACATGCCATCCCTGGCGGCAATGGGTTAACTAAAATGACTCCTAGACAGATAGAGAGAGAGTGAGATTGCCAGACAGCCATTCAGAAGCAAGGACAAAGAGCTAGAGAGAGAGAGAAAGAGTGAGAGACAAAGAGAAAGATAGAAGAAGCGTCTGATAAAGAAAGAGTTAGAGAGAGGAAAATTAGTCTGAGAGAAAGAATTCAAGAGAGAAAGAGGTAGAGAGAGAGGGGGGTGGGGCAGAGTTACTAGGATACATTATCTTTGCTTTAATTTTTTTTTTTTTTTTTTTTTTTTTTTGTATCATTTCATTGTCAAAAATATTCTAATGACAATTCATTAAGCATAACATCAATAACAATAATAACAGTATCGAAAGCAATGGTATTAGTTTTCCCGCCAGTTCAATGAATGGGAAAATCAGGGTCGGTAACTAGGGCCTACTGATAGACTCCTTGCCGGCTGAGCACATGTGGAGCCATCTGTAGGTAACAAAATTCACCAAAAACTACAGGGGACAGAACATAAATCCGTGGCCAATGGGTTCATCCTGGAATTCGTTAGTAACAGATGGGCTTACACTGCATATATATAATTGTTTGCAAGCTTTCCAGAACAGACTTGCCAAGATGCGTCCTCGGTTAAAAAGAATAGATCTTGTTATTGGTGCCATTAACATCTTTCATTTTATTGTGCATAATGGAAAGAGAATTCAAGTGTGAATATCTGCCAAAAATAAATATTGTATGGCAGCCCTTATATTTTTTTTTTTTTTTTTTTTTCCCAAAAACTATGCTGATCTTTCATAAAGAAATGGAGAATGTTTGAGAGTACAAAGGAATTAGAGGAATTAGGACATGGAATTAGAAGGAATGAGGAATAGAAGGACATGGAGAATTTGAGGAGGAATTAGAAGGACATGGACTGGCTAGCCACTTGGGTCTACACACTTTTTAGGCCTTTGCCCTCGCATGGCATCCCTCCTTCCTTATCAACACCCAGCCATGTACACAATATATATGTGTGTGTGTGTCTGTGTGCATATAAATATATACACACATAAACACACACATATATATATATATATATATATATATATATAAATGTATATGTAGCTATATATATAGAATATATAAAAAATATATGTATATATATAATGTGTATGTATATGTATACATATATATATATATATAATTTATGTATCTATATGTGTGTGTCTATGAGAAGAACGATATATATATATACATATATAATTATGCATTTGCATATATATATAAATATATACATATGATATACATAAATACATTTATATGCTGTATATATATATATATAATTTATGTATCTATATGTGTGTGTCTATGAGAAGAACGATATATATATATACATATATAATTATGCATTTGCATATATATATAAATATATACACATATACATACACAGACACTCAGACAGACACACACACATACATATATAAAGCATATATATATACATATATAATTATGCATTTGCATATATATATAAATATATACATATGATATACATAAATACATTTATATGCTGTATATATATATATATATATATATATATATAATTTATGTATCTATATGTGTGTGTCTATGAGAAGAACGATATATATATATACATATATATGCACATTTCTTTATGTATGCATATATAAAGATATATAGATACACACACCCACACACACATGTGCATTTGTGCGTGTGTGCACACACATGCATGTGCATATCCATGTGCATGCCTTTGTGTGTGCAATGATGGGCACTGATACTTGAAAATTAACCCATTGCCGCCAGGGAAAATGAAAAAAAAATGGGGGAAATGCAGTACTCATTTTTTATATTTTTGTGAAATATCTCTGTCCATAGATGGCTCTGCTAGTCCTGATTTCACCTCTCCTTAAATTGGCGGGGAAAAACGTATTCTTACTAGTGTTATAAATATAGATGGTGTTATTTTGAACAGCAAATTAGGATAACGTTAAATATTTTCGTAAATTGACGAAAAGGGTGAACGGGCGAGACAGGCAGTACTCGTAATTGGCTCATTGGATACTTAGTACAAGTGTAGCCATCTAGGTGTAAAAACAATCAAACAAGT